AATTTTAAAACTTTTGTGCATCAAAAGATGTCAACAGAATAAAAAGCAATCCCCAAAAAAAGGAAAAAAATATTTGCAAACTATTTATAAGGATTTGCTATGGTTTGGATATTTGTCTCCTCCAAACCTCAAGTCAAAATTTGATCCCCATATTTAGAGGTAGGACTTAATGGAATGCATTTGGGTCATGGGGGCAGATCCCTCATGAATAGATTAATGGCTTCCCTCAGAGGTAAGTGAATTCTCACTGCATTAATTCCCATGAGAGCTCGCTATAAATAAATTAAAAGTGGAAGCAGCTTGAGGCCCCGCCAGATGCACATGCTGGTGCCACGCTTCCTTTACAATCTGCAGAATCATGAGTCAAACTTTTCTTTATAAATTACTCAGCCTCAATTTTTTTTTTTTTAAGACAGAGTCTAGCTCTGTCACCCAGGCTGGAGTGCAGTGGCAAAGTCTTGGCTCACTGCAACCTCCGCTTCCTGGGTTCAAGTGATTCTCCTGCCTCACCCTGAGTCGCCGGGATTACAGGCACATGCCACCACGCCTGGCTAATTTTTGTATTTTTAGTAGAGACAGGGTTTCACCATGTTGATCAGGCTGGTCTTGAACTCCTGACCTCTTGATCCGCCCACCTCAGCCTCCCAAAGTGCTGGGATTACAGGTGTGAGCCACTGCACCTGGCCAAATTTTTTTTATAGCAATCCAAAACAGACTAAGACAGGACTAATATCTATTGTATATAAACAACTTCCACAACTCAAAACAACAAAATAAAAACTCAATTCAAAAATGGGCAAAGGTTTGAATGTGGTTTTTGTTGCAATCTATGCTTCAAAAAAAAAAAATTGGTGAAGGACTTGAATAGACATCTTTCTTAAGAGGACATGCAAATAGGCAATAAGCATCTAACAAGATACTGCACATCACTAATCATTAAGGAAATGCTAATCAAAACCCCAACACACCACCTCATGCCCATTACAGTGGCTACTAACAAAAGAAGAGAAAATAAATTTGGAAGGATGGGGATAAATTGGAACTCTTGTGTACTGTTAGTGGGAATGTGAAATGTTATAACCACTGTGGACAGTGTTCGGTCTTCAAAAAAATTAAAATAGAATTGCCAAATGAGCTAGCAGTTCCACTTCTGGATATATGCCCAAAAGAATTGAAAACAGGAGTTAGAACAGATATTTGTCTATCCCTGCTTATAGCAGCATTATTCACAATAGCCAGATTGTGGAAGCAACCCAAATGTCCACTGCCAGATGAATGGATAAACTAAATGTGCTATAGATGTACGGTGGAATAGTGTTCAGCCTTTAAAAAGGAAATTCTGCAATACCTGGATGAAACTCAAGCATTATGTTCAGTGAAATAAACCCAGTCACAAAAAGACAAATACTGTACAATTGCACTTACATAACATTCTTTGAGTAGTAAACTCATAAAAGCAGAAAAGAAAATGATGGTTGTCAGGGGGTGAGGGGAATGTGGGACCAGGCAGACATTGTTTAATAGGTACAGAGTTTTGCTTGGGAACGTGAATAAGTCTGGAAGTGCCAGTAGTGATGGTTGCAGAACAATATAAATGTACTTAATGCCATATACTTAAAAATGGTTAAATAGTCAATTTTATGTTATATACATTTTACTATGTTTTTTTAATTCACTTTTAAAGCAGGGATACATGCAAATTCTCCCTACCAAACAGGTCATCAGGTACCCACTGAAAGTTCTGTGCAAGGAAATTCACTTTTAATGTTCAGTTAATGTTCAGAACATTAAACAATATTTAAAGAGTATTTGCATTTTTATTTGCATATTGCCGTCTTAGTTAAGAACTCCGCTGCATCCTATGTTAAAAACACATTATTGACTTAAAATATACAATACAAAACAGCATAAAGAAATTCTAATAAAGAGAAACAGTCCTGGAGCAGTGACTGGCCTTTGGCATGTGCACCATCTAATGCAGCAGGAACAGTGCAGACACCTGAAACAGGATAGAGTTTTTATCTCCTCAGAGCTTTGCTCTGAATTCTGGTTTTTTTCTGTTGTAGCAAAGCTTTCCTGTAGCCATTTCTAGTAGGAGAAAACTCAGTCTTTATGATCACAAGTGCCTTTTTAGTTTTTTTTTTTTTTTTAAGCATAAATATCCATCATTAAAAACCATTTTCTGATATTTTGTTTTATGGTGATGAAAACATAAATATCTGATGTTTTCATCAGAAAACATAATTTTCTGATGAAAATTAAAGATCTGGCCCTCATGAGACCTGTAGCCTGTAATGGAAACATTGGTCAGATCCAATAAGACAAAGCAAAGTTTGCAGCTTTTTTTGTTTTTTGGGGGAAATGATTCAGAATCATTTTGAAATTAAATTTTCGTAGAACAACAGGTGAACTTAGGTCTTGGTGGCAATTTAAACCTATTTGCATTTTAAATCTTAAAAGTATTCTTTTAAATTTTTGACATATTGTTGAGTTTATATGGAACAAAATAAATTTAAGTATCTCTCATGGCCTGGATACTTTTTTTTTAACTTTTATTTTAGGTTCACAGGTATGCAGGTTTGTTATATTTGTATACTGTGTGTCACAGGGGTTTGATGTAGAGATTGTTTTGTCACCCAGGTTCTAAGCCTAATACTCAATAGTAATTTTTTCTGCTCCTCTCCCTCCTCACACCTTCTACCCTCAAGAAGGCTCCAGTGTGTTTTGTTCCCCCTACATGTTGATGTGTTCTCATCATTTAGCTCCCACTTGTAAGTGAGAACATACAGTGTTTGGTTTTCTGTTCCTGCATTAGTTTGCTACAGTAGCCCCCAGCTCCATGCCTGGATAGTCTTTTAATGCTTTTTGGAATACTGTCACTTCTTTGGTAACTATAGCCACTAGGAGCCTGACCCCTTAATACAGTCCAAATGGGGTTTGGTAGGGGAAGGGAGGGGCTTTTGTTATGTTTTGGTCCTTTCTAAGGCACATTAAAATGGCTGGCAAAATTAGAAGTTTTGATATGTTCATATTCAGATTAGATAGAGTCAACAATCACTGTATTTCATTTGGGTTATTCTTGTGTTATGCCAGAATCTGTGGTTTTCTTGGTAGCAAAGTCATGCTAAAATACCAAAAAAGCTAATAAGATAGGCATATCAGTAATCAAGGCTACAGTTTGTTAGGCACAGTCTAGTAATATAGGCAAGACTTTTTTTATAAATCTTAGATTTGATACCACATCCATGTTCCTGAGTTATTTTTCATATGATTAACACTTACTGCTCTCAAATTCATCATCAGTCAGTGAGGGCTGGACTGGTAAAATACCTTGCCAGGTGAGCAGGACGTATATGCAAGGAAATCTATATAGAGTTCAGAATTCAAGCATTTGAGTCTGCTTCACATAACAGTTATATAATAGCCAAGGAATGCTTGCCCCTCTGTGAAAGCTGACCCAGAGATAAGTATCTCCATTTCAAAAAAATATACAAAGTGAAAGGAAAATAAATCACATAAAGTCATATTCAGTAAAGAAGTGATCAGCTAACGTCATCTTTCACTTTATGTGTGAGGTTTGGTTGGTCTGAGATTTGCTGAGGAGCCGGATGTCTCAAGGCTCTTTGGGGACAGAAATCTGCTGGAACACAGGTGTCCAGTCTCTTAGACGAGCCCTTTCCCTCATTTCTGTTTAAAAATGAAATTGAAGGCAGCCATCTTTCAAAGTAAGTTTTTTCATATTGTCAACACTGACAGTTACCAATAACTGAAAACCTGAAACCAGCGGCTGAAACCTCAGGGAGAGAGCTGACATGGGCACGCACGACGAATTGCATGCTCACGCACACACAGTCTCAGCTGGGCTTGAGAACGTGACCTAGACTGAGTAAAGCCAGAAGGAATGGCCATTCATCAATTAAACAAATATTTGAGTTAACTAGTATGTGCCAAGCTTCATATTTTTTGCTGCTAATAGCCCTCAGAGTTTTCAGGTCATTTATTTTAAGGAGGAAAAACACAGTTTGCTATTTTCCAATGCAAATACTTTAACAAGAGAACTGATCTTGGTTGTTGGTGTAATGAATTTGAGAGCTGTTCAGGGAAGTGGAAGTGATAGAGGAGGACATTTTTCCATAAGATAAGCCTGGTATGGTAAGTCCAAGTAGTCATCAATATGCAAAATTTGACTGGTTTATTACAATAGTAATTGTTCTTTATAATAAATGAATACTTAAGATCTATGTAATATAGATTCCTAATGAGCATTCATAAAACCTAGTAAAGCCTTGTTAAAAATATGTGACCCCAAACTGAGATTCAGTAACTGTTGATTTTGGCCTGGGTAACAAAACTGCTTCTTTTAAGTGAGAGAATGCTGTCAGTGAAACAGGTCAATCTTACCAAAATATATTCTTTAAATCTTGTTGCAAGAAATGGGGAAATATGGTTAATGAGAGTTCTAGTCAGATTTGGAGAGAGAAACAGAGAGTGTAGAGCACATTTACAGATATATGGGTGCATGGGCATTTAGGAAGAGATGCTGCCAGAGGGTGGGTCAAGTGTGATACAGGGACTCACCGGGCTCTGCAGGGAAGCCTGAAGGTTACGTTTGCATTAGCCAGGGTTCACATAACCTATGTAGCAAGCGGACTTTATGACTACCAAGTATTGTTTTGATCAGACATACACGTGTCTTGGACTTTTCTTTCCCTGCCAAAAAAGAATGGTTCTGACCATCTTTCTGAGAAAATATTCTAGTGTAGTCAGTCTAACCTTACTTGCCTTTACTTATTCACTGCTCTTGGAGCAAAGACGAAATGATTGCTCCACTGAGGCAAAGCATGTTACTCCACCAGCTGGGCCTCAGACACAATCATATATTTTTCCTTTGATTCTTTTCTAGTGGACTTAAAAACCAGGTCACTCCCTTTTAATTGCGATTTTTCTGTTTTTATGATCATTAATTTCACAGACTTGTACGTTTTTGCCTTTTCTACCAGTTCGCTTCAGTGTCCCCAGCAGTTCCTGAATTCTTGAAAACTCCTCCAACTGCAGATCAGCCTCCCTCACGGCCTGCAGCTACTGTCCTCCCCACAAACACTGTGTCCTCAGCAAAGCCTGGCCCAGCACTGGTGAAGGTGGGTACTTTGGATGCACCCTGGGGGTTGGGTGGCTTTATATGTGACTCTGTCTATACCCCGGTAAACAGAAGACAAAGCATTTATCTAAGTTGCTCAGCCTGCCTTTCAGCCAAAGTCTTGAAAACTAAACCATGCAAAGACTTGCTAGACTGGGGTCTTCATATTTAAAATTGTGCTATAGTCTCAGAAAAATGGCACAAAATTTGGTCTATTTAAAACACTAGAGGCTGGATGCAGTGGTTTGCCTCTGGAATCCCAGTGCTTTGTAAGGCTCAGGTGGGAAGATCACTTGAGGCCAGGAGTTTAAGAACAGCCTGGACAACATAGCAAGACACTATATCCATAAAAAATTTAAAAAGCTAGACAGAGTTAGTGGTGCATGCCTGTAGTCTCAGCTATGAGGCAGCCAAGGCAGGGGGATCACTTGAGCCCAGGAGTTTGAGGCTGCAGTGATCTATGATCACACCATTGTACCCTAGCCTGGGTGACAGAGCAAGATCCTGTGTCTTTAAAAAACAAAACAAACTACTGGGCTATGCAGAAAGCCCCAGTTCTGCCACCCAGGCCACTAAGATGAAACATAAGAAAAACAGATTTTAACTTTTCAAAATTGTGTTTAGAACTTCTAGATAAGGTGGGTGAGGAGAATAAGGTGAGGAATAGTTTAGCAGAATAGAGATCTCAAATTTTTAAAACTCAAAAACGATACTATAGTTAGCTACCTTTTCACCACCTTTCAGATGGAGAGACTGAGGCCCACAGAAGAAATGACAGAGCCAGGAAGGGCCCCAACCACCCGAATCCAAGTCTAGCTCTCTCCTGCCTCCCCCACCTGTTGCAGCACTCTCCTGAGGCAAGGGAGCATCTTTGAGATGACCATGATGCCTATTTCTTACAGCCCTCTGTCTGCAGGACTGTCCTTGTTCTTGACCTTCCAGGAGAGAAGGCTCTTGTAAGCATGGCTGAGTGTTGGTAGCTTCAGGACATATGTTAGTGTATTTCCCCATCTTCCATCGCTTAGCACTGGGACCAGAAATTACATAGGGTGGCAAGTGGCAGGCAACCCTGCCCGGGAAATCAGTTTTTACTTCCTCTCCAAGTATCCTCATGCATGCAGCCCCAGTGGCACAGAGAAGGTCTGCATGCCCAGCCCTCCTTCCCTGCTGATCTTGAAAACAGGTTCTCTGCCCTACCCAGTCTCTGAATGTCTGCTCCTCACTGATGTCTTTAAGGAGAGCTTTGGTTCTAAAGGAAGCAGCATTGTTGAAGAATGTGAAATTCAGGGGTTGGTAAGGGACTTCTAGGACTATGCCGAGAGGAGGAGACAGGAACACATTAGGAAACAGAGCAGAATTCTTTCAAGGTTTCTATAAGGAAAGCTGTTTCCCATCCTTCACTGTGGGGGCTGACAGGTAATAGCAGATTTGGTCTGAGGAGCACTGGATATTATGTTTATGTGCTCCTCTACAGGTGCCCTTCTGACGTGGCTGGGTCAATTATTTTTATCACTGTACAACAATTATTCTTGAATCCCGTTTTAAGTATAAATTATCCTAGACCCAGTTCATTCTTAAGATCAATTTTAAAGGACTAAAAATAAAATGTATAGCCAGGCACAGTGACACACCTGTAATTCCAGCACTTTGGGAGGCCAAGGCAGGCAGATCACTTGAGCGCAGGAGTTTGAGACCAGCCTGGGCATCATGGCAAAACCCCATCTCTATAAAATGTTCAAAAAAATTAGTTGGCATGGTGGTGCACACCTATACTTTCAGCTACTCAGAGGGCTGAAGTGCAAGGATCACCTGAGCCCAGGAGGTCAAGGCTGCAGTTAGCCAAGATCATGCCACTGCCCTCTAGCCTGGGTGACAGAGTGAGACCCTGTCTCATAAGCAAATAAATAAAATGTATTGTTTATAATGAAATAAGCAGGTAAATAGTGACATGATTAATATTGTGAGACTGAAGGAATAAGTAGGTGAAAGTGTTTTCTGACATTGAGGTATATACCTTAAATGCCTGATAATTAAACTGATTTCAAATTAGCATACACATTCACCATGCATTTGTCCAACAGATACTTATTCAAGCACCTTCTATGTGCTGGGCTCTGTTCTGGGTACTAGGAATAGATAAAGCAAGGAACAAAACATCACAAATCCTCACTCTTAGAAAAACAGACAACCAAGTAGATTGTGTGCCTGGTGGTGATGAATAATGTGAGGACAGGGATGCTGGGGGGCAAGGAGAGGTGTGTCGTTTAAAAGAGGTGGTCTGGGGATACGCAGATGACACTTAAGAAGTGAGGGTGTGAGCCATAAAGATATCTGTGGGAAGCAAATCTGAAGTCTCTGAACAAGGAAGCCAATATGACTCCAATAGCGATAGCGGAGGAGTAAAAAGTAAACTATGCAGCCAGGTTGTTGCCAGAGACCAGCATCTGTAGTGCCTTGTAAGAAGTTAGGCTTTGGCCGGGCGCGGTGGTTCACACCTATAATCCCACCACTTTGGGAGGCAAAGGTGGGTGAATCACGAAGTCAGAAGTTCGAGACCAGCCTGGACAACATGGTGAAACCCCATCTCTACTAAAAATGCACAAAATTAGCTGGGTGTGATGGTGGACACCTGTAATCCCACCTACTCAGGAGGCTGAGGCAGGAGAATCATTTGAACACAGGAAGCAAAAGTTGCAGTGAGCTGAGATCACATCACTATACTCCAGCCTGGGTGACAGTACAAGACTGTCTCAAAGAAAAAAAAAAATAAGTTAGGCTTTGTATTACCACTAAGGGAAGAAGCTGCTGGAATATTTTGAGCAAATGTGTTAGAAACAGTAGGGTGCAAAGGTAGAAGCAGAGACAGGTAAAATGCACAGCAGGAGACAATGGCAGCCAGCAAGATAACAGAAGTGGTTGGATTCTGGCTGCATTTGAAGGCTAAGCTGGCAGGATTTGCGGACAGGTTGGATATGTGGTGTGAAGAGGAGTCATGAACCATCTACTGTTTTGCGTCTGCACAACTAGCAGCTTGTAGTTGCCATGCCTGAAATGGAAAGGAGTACACCCGGAGTGTGAAGTGCTGCATGGGCAACTAGTCGAGATGGCTTAGAGGCAGCTGGATAGATGAGTGCAGACCTTAGGCGAGAGGTTGTCAGTGTATACGTGGCATTTAAAGTCATGAAACCCAGTAAAATTAGCTAGGGTCTAAGTACTGATAAAAAGCTATGAAAGAAATGAGTCCTTGGGAACCACCAACATTTGAGAGAGAGTGGAAGAACCAGCAAAGGAGACTCAGCAAAAACAGCCAGCAAGAGTGAGGCAAGGTGGCTCTGAAGCCAGCACGTTTCAAGGACGAGAGAGCAACTGTATCAAAGGCTGCTGTGCCTCAGTTAAGATGAGTGCTGTGAACTGGCCTTGGTTTAGCTGCATTGAAGCACAGTGACCTTGACAAGAACAGTTTCTGAAAACTTGGTATGGGTGGTCACAAGGAAGCCTGAAAGTCAGAGCTGGAGATGGTGTTACAGAAAGCTTTTCTTCAGAGCACAAAGAAATACATCTAGCTTCACTGCACTGTAAGGTCAGGAAAGCTGTTTGTGATCCCATGGGAGTGATCCAGGAGAAGAGCAGGGAACCACAGCCAGGTGTCGCCAAGGGAACACAGAATCCAGTTGAGGAAGGAAGGGCCAGCCTGAGACAGCAGCACCAGCAGGAAGAAAAGCACTCAGAGTCCCCGCACAGGCAGGCATTCACAATGTGCGTAAGCTCTGTGCTGATCACTTACATGTTCTCAGTGTTTAGGCAATGAGACATCAGTTGACAGTGAGGATGGGGTTGGGGGAATATTAAAGTTTTGGGGAGAGAAGAGAAGATATAAGGCAATATTCTAGAAGGGTGGGAAAATTAAAGGACCAGAAAAATGTAACAGGATAGCCAGGTAGCACTGATTGAGCCCTTGGAAGTAGGTAGTCATGAGCTTAAAGTGAGACTTGTCAGCATGGTTTTATGTTTTTCCTGTAGCCACTTTCAGTTATATGAGTACAGGTATGAAGTGGACCACTGGTTCTTAGCAGGGTAAGTTTGTCTCCCACCGCAGACATCTGGCAATGCTTGGAGACATTTCTGGTTGGGACAACAATGTGGGGGACAAGGGGGGGTGAGTGGAGGTTCCTAGGGGTATCTAATGGGTAGTGGCCAAGGATGTTGTTAAATATCAAACAGTGCCCTGGATGGGCTCACATAACACAGTTACCTAGCTCAAAACATCAGTAGAGCCGTTGTCGAGAAACAGAAGGAGACAGAGAATTAATTAGATAAGTGTTTTGCCAGGCATGTATGACAAAGAGGGTACTGTGCAAGTGAGGGGACCGTGGGATATAGCTGGGTAAGGAGGTAAGTGAGGAACATATAAAGGTTGGAACAGAAAGGGATTATAGGTCTCAGTGGCATCAAATAATTGTTATAGTTGGCATCCTGGATGGAGTGAAATGACAAAACACCTGGTGGGTATCAGATACCAGGATGCTGGGAAGTGAGGTTTAGATAATGATGAGGCCTAGGCTATAATCACACAGTGACTCAGAGAGAGAGGAGATATCTAGAAGTAATGAAGTCAAGGAACTGAGAGAGCAGAATGTTAGAAGGATTGTATGTGTGGATATTAAAATCACCATGAATAGTGACTGAAGTAATGTTGAAGAAAGTAAGGAGCAGTGGGAATGTCAGGTGTGTCACAGGAGTCATTAAGAACTAGGAGGAGGCCAGGTCCTGATGGTCAAGGCTGAAGGCATGAGATGAGATTAACAAGAATAAATCATTTCCAACACATAGTTACTTTTTACAAATTCTTATTTACCAGTTCTTAAAAATAGGCTACTAATTAATTGGATTATCTTATGTCCGGTAGTATGCGGGTAAATGTTTAATAAGTGGCTGGGCTCAGAGGGCAGATTATAGCATTTGCCAATTCCCATGGTGTAAATATTCCCACAGCGACCATTTTCAGGCTACCAATGTGATATTGCTGAATGCAGAGTTGGGGGAAGGTGCACTATTGTCTCTCTTGAGTAAGAGCTGGCTCCAGCACCTCACTGGCTATGTCTATAAACTGTTATGTAAAAACGGCCATAAAAATATTGTTGCAGAATCATTCTTTTATATGAGGGATTTAAGAATTCATGACATATCAAGCGAAGAGAGAGAAAGGCACATTGTTAATAAGCGTAGATGGATGGTATCATCCCAATTATATTAAAACATATAAGGAAGGAAGGATGTAAAAAGGAATGTTAATAGTCACATTCTATGAATGCTAGAATAGCCTAACATTAGAAATAGGACTATTCCTAACCTATAGAATGCAGTGAGTTTTGTTTTCTTCCTATCTCTGGTGGCAGTGTCCTAATTCTTTGGATATGAATATAGATAATGTGATCTTATCAAAAGCTCCATTTAATTGAGTACTTCTCAAGTCTTTGTATTAAGTTGGGTATATTCACTAAAGCAGCTTAGGAATACTTTCCTATATTTTGTTTTTTTGTTTGTTTGGATGGGTTTTGATAGATGAAGTTATCTTAGAATCTGAATAGTGAAAAGTATAAAGTGATCTGATAAATTATAAACTGGGGAGAAGACAAAAACTCAGGAAAACATCATCTGATTCCTAATCTTGAGAGATACATGGTCTCACATCCCAGTTTCAAAGTAAAAATGTAGTCTTTTTGAAAAAAAGATCATATTCATATCACTCAGTAGTTTTTGTATTATCTTCTTTAGAGATAGCTTCCAATGAGAAGAAAACAATATAAACTTTTTTTTCCCCACATATTTTCCTCAGAAATTTTTAGCTATTACATGGTTTTGAGGAAGTATACTTAATCATTTCTCTACTATATATTTATCATGTAGCCTGTTTTTCACTAGGAGATTATATGTGTATATTATTACTTGGGTAGGGTGTTCACACAGGAGACCCAAGGTCAGTGTGCATTGAGTTTGAATAGCTCACGCTCAGTATCTTACCCAAACCCCAAGGGAACAGTGCAGCAGGAGAAAATTTCTTGGTCAAAGTTAGTTTGCAAAGATTTTCATGGCTCTTGAAATGAATGTAGCATATTTTTTTCCAAAGTAACCGTATGTGTATCTAAGGTACATTTCTTTTTAATTTCAAATCATTTAGGCGCACAATACGGTATATTTCATGTGACGACATCTCTTTAAATGTTATTTTCTTTTTTTCTCAAAAATAGCAAAGCCATCCCAAAAATTCAAATGACAAACACCGTAGCAAAAAGTGCAAAGATCCCAAACCACGGGTAAAGAAGTTAAAGTACCACCAATACATACCACCAGATCAGAAGGGTGAGAAGAATGAACCACAGATGGACTCCAACTACGCCCGCCTGCTCCAGCAGCAGCAGCTGTTCCTACAGCTGCAGATCCTGAGTCAGCAAAAGCAGCACTACAACTACCAGACCATCCTGCCTGCACCATTCAAGTACGGTGGGGCCCATGCTATCCTCATAACGCGGGGTGTCCTGTGGTTGTTTATGAGGAACTATACGTTACCAAAAGTCAAATATTGTTATTTCCTTGTGCTTGGTAGTTATTTTTTATCAGAGCTTATCATACAGTGTCTGAAGTCCACATGCTGAGAATAGCCAGCATTCCAGTCCAGTTTGTATCCTCCAAAATAGGTTCTGAACTTTTATAAGTTAGAAATGCCTTTTCACAATTATTCACCCAGATTTGCCTATTATTACAACACAAAAGCAGTACTAGATGCTCTGAGAAAAGCATAAGTACAAGACCTGGCATAAACAGCTAAAAGAGGAGAAAGATGGGCATGAAAGCTCGAATGGGCAAGGAAAGCCTGGTGGAAAAGGTAGGATCTTTGTATGTGGAAGCCTCGAGAAGGGCCTTTCCAGGCACAGGGGAATGCTGTGAGTACTAGTACAGAGGAAGATGTAGAGTAAGCAGTACCTCTTCGTTGGAAGGTGAGAAAAGTTGCCTAAACAAAGAATCTGATTAATTTTTAAGAAAAAAGTGGAAGACAGAATCAAGTAGAGTCATGTCTAAGGGGACTTGAAGCTGAGCAGAAAAGACCTTACTTGACATAGCAGATAGACAACGTAGTGCTTCATAGTGGGCTGCTGATGCAGTGAGACTGAAATGCAAGAACAGCTGGACACTGGCATTGAAGGGGCATCTGGAGGCAGTGAAGAGCTCTGACAGCAGACCGAGTGTTTCAGAAGACAGTGAAAGGCCTTGGTGACCAGCAACTGCGTAGACGTAAGGTGTTTTCAAAGTCTGAGCCCAACTTTGAGGGACAGAAGGGAGTGAATTTCGACAATTTCTGAGACTGAATTTGCAGCAAGACATTAATGGCTAATTTTAATTATGTAATAAAGAAAATTTCTGGATATACATTCCCAATTTTTCTGGGAAACAGGTAAAAATGCAAAGATCTTTTCTTCATTTTACTTTTCAGGAGAAAGTAATATTTGCGTTTGACTCTAGAAAAACATGCAAAACCATTTTTTTAATGAGGAAAAATTATCTGTGATTAAGTCATTCAACTTGCAATCACATGATCTGTAGAAACTTCTATTTTCTACGTGTAGCCTAAGCATTCCCTCATAGGTAGCCTCTCTTTCTTTTCTCTCTTAAGATTCATATATCTTAAGGAAGATTAAACCTATTAGTAATTCAGACCCAATTGTGAAGTGCTTAAATCTAAAACATCAGAGCATGGAGATGAAGAGAGAAAGAACTTTGTATCCAGTTATTACTTTAAGAGCAAGCAGGCCCGAGTGAGCTATTGACGTTGGAAGGGAATCAGGTGAGGGCCAAAGAGAATTGGAAGAAAATCAGAGACAAGCTGCTGTTACTTTACACCTTTGTCCAGGCCCTCGGGAGGCCTCCTCCACTACCATCCTCCTTTGGCATTGGGCACCCATAATAATAATGGTAATGATGGCTTGTGGTTGGTTATTCACCATTTACAATGCATTATGCTTAAAACTGTGCATCATCCTGATCCTTTCTGCAAGTCTAGGAGGAATTGCTGTTATTGACAACATTCCCAGATGAGGACGCCGTTAAGGTGAAAATCACAAAGGATTTTTTGATATCTTTTAAACAATCTTTTCTTTAATGAAAGAATTTGGCTGTGTGACTGGCTTTGTAGATGGGAAGAACCCATCAGAGGTGTGAGCTTGCTGAACTCTTCCCAGTTCTTTGTCTTTCCATTAAGGCTTCAGTTCCCTTCTCCTATTCAGACATTCAGAACCTCTAAAATAACCAAGCTCACCCAAGAACAGTATCATACAAAAAGACCCAAGATACTAGGAGAAGAAAGAACACTTATTTTTGTGTATTACTTCACCCCAAAAAGAATCTAAGTCCTGTTCAATTTCCAGATCCTAAAAATGGGTATCGTGCTTTCTAAAGCATTGTTTATGCTTGTCAAAATTCTATTGCAAGAAACTGAACATGGAAGTCCTACAGTGCCCACAGGGGTGGGATTTTACCTGAATCATGTAGCTCTTTGCCACTACGAAGGAGCAGGCTCCCAAAGGGTCTGGGCTTTAGTCAAACCCACCTTGTCTGCACAGTGGGAGGCCACTGCATCCCTCTGAACTCAGGAATCTCATCTGCACAGTGATCACATTCGTCAGCAAGCCCCTTCCCCCCATCCCCCACCCCTGTCTATTGCTTTGGGAGAAAAATAGATTAACATGTTTATATTGTAAAGATTGAGTTAAGGCCCGGTGTGGTGGCTCAGGCCTGTAATCCCAGCACTTTGGGAGGCCCAGGCGGATGGATTGCCTGAGGTCAGGAAGTTGAGACCAATCTGGCCAACATGGTGAAACTCAATCTCTACTAAAAATATAAAAAAAAATTGGTCAGACGTAGTGATGTGTGCCTGTAGCCCCAGCTACTCAGGAGGCTGAGGCAGGGGTATTGCTTGAACCAGGGAGGTAGAGGTTGCAGTGAGCCAAGATCACACCACTGCACTCCATCCTGGGCGACAGAGCAAGACTCCATCTAAAAAAAAAAGGTTGAGTCAAATACCAGTCTGTACCAAATTCCTTATGTAGAATAATTATTCATTTTCAAGGGGATAATAGCACTCACAAAGCAGCAAAAGGTGGCTCGGCAGGGAGACTACTCTTAAGTGATAAAGCACAGACTTACATACAGTCCTTAAACATTTGCAGTATGTCTATGGTGTTGAAACTTCATGGGGGGAAGAGATTTGGAGAAGAATGTTTAAAAGGCTCCTTAAGGGGACAATGAGTGAGAAAATAAGGATGAGAAACACTGATTTAAAGAAAATGTTCTCATAACTCTGAGATTTTAAAGATGAATTTTTGGAAAAGAGAATGATGCATAAAATATTTGTCATTTCATCCATTGTCAAGAAACTTCATCCCAAAGATTTCAAATATTTAATTTCAACAAATTCAGGCAGGTTTTAGAAGACCCCAAAATGAACGTCAAGAGTTAGCTATTGACAAAGGCCAGCATTGGCTTCAACCACAGGCTTCCTGAAACTCCTCAGAGAAAGCTCACCCAACTATGACCATCAACCCGTAGGAACTGTCATCTCAAATCCCTGTTTCAGAGTGTGGAGTTCCAAGTCTCTTGGCTTCAGCATCACGGCCTTGCATGATAGTAAAGTCTGAAGCTGCAATGGAATCGGCTCTAAGTGTCAACCATCCAGAAATGGAAACACAACTGTTACCAAGAGTATCACAGTTGGAAGATATTAGATAGGGATCTGGTTTTGATACTGAAAGAGTTGAGGGAAATTAGTACAAAGCCCCTAACTGTAGTAGAATTTGACAAGTGATGCACCAACTTCTTTTAAATAAACTTTTTTAATTGAACTATAACTTTCATATAAAGAAGTCCATAAATTATAAGTGAAAATTGATGTGAAAATACACTCCTGCATCCAATAACCAAACCAAGAACATTATCAGTAGCCCAAAAGCCCCCTTTGTGTCCCTTTTCCGTGATGATCCTGACTTCTATCCCCAGAGATTACTTTTGCCTGTTTTTGAACTTTATATACATGCAATCTTACAGTACACCTAGGTGTATCTTTGTTGGTGCTGATAGTTCATTTTTTTAGTTTAATATTTCATCGCTGACTACACCATAATGTAGCCATCCAGCTTACTCTTGATCCATAGTTGGGTTGCTTCCAGTTGGGGTTACTATGAATAACACCATAGTAAATATCCTAGTCTGTGTCTTTTGGCCTACATACCTGTGTCTTTCTGTTAGATGTCTATCTAGGAATGGAATTGCAGGATCATAGGATAGGCAGGTGTTTTCCTTTAGTACTGTGAAAGCAAAGTTTCAAAGAAAAGATGTTTTCCTTTAGTAGTTTTCCAAAGTGGTTGCACCAGTCCACACCTCTGCCAGAAGTGTGTGATTTTTCTGGTTGTCCCAGGTACTTGGTATCACCAGTCTTACTCATTATAGCAATTCCACTGAAAATGCAGGGCTGTTGTGTTGTGATTTGCATCTTCCTGACATCTAGTGAGGTTGAACCATTGTTCACATGTGTATTCACCATTGGGATATGCTTTCTTGTGCTATGCCTATCAGATTTTTCCTCCACATTTCCACTGGGTTTTCTGTCCCTTTCTTACTGATTTGAAAGACCTTTTTATATACTCTAGATATGAGGTCTTTGTCAGAAATATATTACAGATCTGTGGTCCTGGACTGTGGCTTGACTTTTCACTGTTACCTAGTGCTTTTTACGTCCTATTTAATAAATCTTTGTCTACCCAAAGGCCATGAAGATACTATCCTGAGTGTTTTTCTGAAAGCTTTATTTTCATAATTCACATGTAGACTTTGGAATGAGGTGAGGTGAGGCCAGTCAAGAGGCCTGGTTTTTCCCGTGTGAATTTCCAATGCAGCATGGTGCCATCCAAAGTCCCGCCCTCTATCTGCTGCATCACAGTGTCCTCTTTTTATTAACTCCTGGGTCCAGGTATGCAGAAAACCATTTCTGGATTTGCTGGGATCTCTCATTTGCCTGTTGTTCTGTCCCTGTATCAGCAACACACCACATTAATTACGTGTTGATGTCTGGTCATGAGACTCTTTCCAACTTTGCTTTTCATCAAGAATTCATGGCCATTCTTGATCCTTTGCATTTCCATATGAAGCATAGACTCACCCCCTAAATTTCCACCACACTAGCAAACTAAACCTGCAGGTATTTCATTGCAATCTAATATAATTGGCATCTTTATAATATTGAGCCTTCTAATCTATCATCGTGGTATTTTTCTCTTCATAAGTTAGTCAAACTGTTGATAGAAGCAATGTCAAATCTAGAAATTATTTTATTATATGCTCTAATTTTCTTTTTCTTTTGAAGGCCACTCAATGACAAAAATAATAACAGTGGGAATTCAGCATTGAACAATACCACACCTAACATACCAAGACAGAATACAGCTGCTCCTGTGAGAAAGCCAGGACCTCTGCCTTCTAGCCTGGATGACTTAAAGGTGACAATTCCAACTAGAGCTATTTAACCCATAAGTACCACAAATATGTCAGTGATTTGCCATATTTGTCTAGCAGACATTAAGCGGTTTTCAGTAGACATTCAACTTTACCGACAATATGACAATCTTTATAAAGCTATTTCCTTTTTACTTCCACTAATAACAACTGTCACTTACTGAGCATGTATCTTGTGCAGGTACCTACCAGTTCCGCTGGATTCCAGAGGCTGTGATTTTTTTCTTCCCTACTCAATGCCAAGTTTGGGAGAAGCAGGAAAATATAACAGTTAAAAATATGAGCTCTAGGGCCAGCCTTTTTAGGTTTCTATCACAGCTAAGCCTTCTGTTGCCTGTGTGGTAACTTGAGTGAGTGCTTCAACCTCTCTCTTCCTTTGCCTCCCTATCTATAAAAATGGGAAGAATAATGATACAGACATCTCATGGGTCATGTGAAGATGAGTGGAAAGAGTAGAGCACTTCCAATAGTGTCTTGCACATGACAGCTACTCAATAAATACAGCTTTGTCATCATCATTCCTGGTAGTATTTCTCCACTTTGACATAAAAGTGGAATTACCGGCTGGGCGCGGTGGCTCACGCCTGTAATCCCAGCACTTTGGGAGGCCAAGGCGGGTGGATCACGAGGTCAAGAGATCAAGACCATCCTGGTCAACATGGTGAAACCCCATCTCTACTAAAAATACAAAAAATTAGCTGGGCATGGTGGCGCGTGCCTGTAATCCCAGCTACTCGGGAGGCCGAGGCAGGAGAATTGCCTGAACCCAGGAGGCGGAGGTTGCGGTGAGCCGAGATCGCGCCATTGCACTCCAGCCTGGGTAACAAGAGCGAATCTCTGTCTAAAAAAATGGAAAAGAAACAAACAGTTCCACTTTCAGGTGTGCAGTAACACGGAGTTGTCTGATAGACATAGGCACCTTTTCCATCACCAAAGTGGACTATAAATTTGCCAGAAAGCTCTAATACCAAGAGATCTACTATGTTTGTACCTCCAGGTATCAGAACTGAAGACAGAACTGAAGTTAAGGGGTCTGCCAGTGTCGGGCACCAAACCAGACCTCATTGAGCGCCTGAAACCCTACCAGGAAGTGAACAGCAGCGGCCTTGCTGCTGGGGGCATCGTGGCAGTGTCGTCGTCAGCCATTGTCACCAGTAACCCAGAAGTCACTGTGGCCTTGCCTGTTACAACACTACACAACACTGTGACTAGCTCAGTTTCCACTCTCAAGGCAGAATTGCCATCTACCGGAACCAGCAACACAGCCCGTGTGGACAGTGTTCATTCCCCTCTGCCCATTTCACCATCTCCCTCCGAACAGTCCAGTCTCAGTACCGATGACACAAACATGGCAGACACTTTCACTGAGATTATGACCATGATGTCTCCTTCACAGTTCTTGTGTTCGTCTCCTTTGAGAATGACAAATAGTGAAGACAGTCTGAGTCCCACCAGCAGCACTCTGTCGAACCTAGAACTGGATGCAGCCGAGAAGGATCGCAAGCTTCAGGAGAAAGAGAAGCAAATCGAAGAGCTGAAGAGGAAACTGGAACAAGAGCAGAAGCTCGTGGAAGTGCTGAAAATGCAACTTGAGGTTGAAAAACGAGGGCAGCAGCAGCGGCCCCTGGAATACCAGCCCAGTACCCCAGGTCATTCTGTCAACAAGTCAGATCAGAAACACAGCAGCCTTGGCTCCTCCATCAAAGATGAGGCTTCACTCCCTGACTGCTCCAGCTCCAGGCAGTCCATCCCAGTAGCCAGCCACTCTGTAGGCCAGCCTGTCTCGACAGGTGGCCAGACCCTTGTTGCCAGAAAGGCTGTGGTTATCAAGCAGGAGGTCCCTGTGGCCCAGGCAGAGCAGCAGAGTGTCGTCTCGCAGTTTTATGTGAGTTCCCAGGGACAGCCACCGCCTGCTGTTGTTGCTCAGCCCCAGGCTTTACTGACCACACAGACTGCTCAACTGCTGCTCCCAGTGTCCATCCAGGGTTCAAGTGTCACCTCAGTGCAACTCCCTGTAGGCAGCCTCAAACTCCAGGTGTGAAGTGTGTCTTCTAACTACTTTGCCTCACAGCATGCATGGAAACCCTGCTAAGAAGTGAATTACCTGAGCTCTTTCATAAATGCATCCAGAGCAGACCTCACAGAGAAAACGTGTGCATGTGTGAGAGGGTTATTCAAAAATCTGAATATCTAGCACTGTTTTTATATAGTAAAAACAAACACAGGGTACTTTTCTAGTTCTGTTACCTTTACTTTTAATGAACACAGTAGCATCCATGCAGACATTTTTTACACGCCAGTGACGTGATCATTGTGATCACAGTCTCTGCCGCTGTGCTCTTTTTCTGTGCAAGGCACTGCATTAAGTACTTTAAATGGCTAGCTTCACTTAACCCTCCCTTCTCCTAGAAGATCTAAGTGATACCATCCATCTCTGGATGAGGACACTGAGTTCCCCCAGGATGGAGGTAGCATTTAAACCCAGGTGTTCTGCCTGCAGAGCCTTTACTCTTACGCCCATTCTTAGATTCTGCATCCCACACTTAGTTCTCAAAAACCTAACATTTACTGCTAACATGAAGAAGCCTAAACTAAGGAAAACGTGGCCACAAATTTAGGAGTGAGGATGTTTATTGAAAGAGATGAGAAAACACTGATGAGCATGAAATTCCCTTTTGTGCCCACGTAACATATGCATTTACCTGAGGGTATTCTGTGTCATGCAGTTTTGGTAAGTTTTAACCAAGCATACATTACGAATGAACAAGAAACCATTTGGACCACTGCTCCTCAACCTCGACACCCAAATACCTGAAACAGTAGAGAGGAATCATCTTGTACCCTTGTGGTTAGGAGGCAGGGCCGGCAGGGCTTGCAGACTCTTTGGCATGTACAAAAAATTTAATTCCTCTGTTTTATCTTCAGAGTATCTGTTAAAGTCTGTTTACATCCCTAAAACAAATGTTTTGGTCCAAATCTTCCATTGCTTTTGTGGAAACAAAAACTATTATTCTTGGGTCTGAGGGTACCCGGCCTGTTGCTGGCTCTCCTTTGGGAGTGCACATGGAGTTACAAGAAGGAATTGGGACAGTTAGGTCTCACAAGTTTCCTTGTTACTCTTAAAGTCTTAACAGTACCTGAGCTATTATGTGTAGAACTGCCCTAAGTTCTTATTTCCATTTCTACTTTCTCAAAATTTACAAATGGTAATCTTAGCTACTTAGGAATAATAAGAGCATGCAGTGACTGACTGGTCTGGTGTTTCCCTCTCTAGTTTAGAATCATCAAGATTCAGATTTCTGTGCAGATGAAGTATGTATCTGTAAACTTGGTCTTATTTTATTTACGTACAGTTCCCAAGTGACCAATGGTTCTACATCTGAATTCTGATTTCTAACTTTGATTCTGACAATTAAATTGATGTTTTTCTTCAATTCACCTCCTAGACTTCACCACAAGCCGGAATGCAGACTCAGCCTCCAATAGCAACTGCTGCACAAATATCAACTGCTGCCTTGGCCCCAGGCTTAGCCCCAGCTGTACCTCAAACACAAGACACGTTCCCACAGCATGTGCTCAGTCAGCCTCAACAAGTCAGAAAGGTTTGTAAATGCCACTGAGCAATAAACTGTCGCTGATTTTTACTATCCTCTGATCATCCATTTAACAAGCATCTTTGTAGAAGCTATGGGAAGCCCCTGTTCACTCTGCTCTGTAATCCATCTCCCATAGAATGAGCCTTATGTGGATGCCATTTGGCTGCAGATTTTCTAGTTATTTGGAATGGAAAAAGAGCTTTTCGTTACTAAAGATAGCTCACCTTCACAGTTAACCCCTTTAACAACGGAAAGTTTCAGAAGTGTTTGTCTTCATTCCTTATATATTAAATTAATTTTAAAATAATTTTTTTCAAATTAAACATATTGTAGAAAACAATATATGTTGTTCCCTTAGAAAAGATATCTGAACATGAAAAATATACTTCTAAAACTTTTATGTTGAGTAAGATCTTGAAATATATTTCTAAGAGTTTTCCCAGAAGGTCTTATCAATTCCAGTCCACCATTGCCTAGGTGTTTGGCCTCATGCAAAATTCACTTACCCTGAGAGTCAATTACCTCATCTTTAAAATGAAGTTGATGGCCTAGGATTCAGTGTCCTCTATACAAATTCCTACCAAAAAAATTCTCCCACATTCCCCATTAGCCAGTAGGTGGAGCTATGTGCACATCTCCTTGTCAGAAAAATCTTAGGCCTCAAAAACAGGTCTTACTCTTTTAAACCTTTAAAATTATTAATCCCAGAGTTTTACTCTTCAACATAAAAGAACACAGATAATTAGTTGTGCCTGTGATCTGCCTCAGGATAGTGTGAACTGTCTGGGTTAAACCAGCTTTAAGGACAGACAACAGCAGTCACATGTAACACATGTACTGCTTGAGAATCTCTTCTGTGCGAGGAATCATGGTTGTATGTTACTGAGTTTGGGGAAAGCTGAAAATACCATTTTAGTATAATTAAAAGCTTAGTATATGTTCAAATGTTAAGACAATTGGAAGGAAAGGAAAAAATGATATTTAGATAAGATAAATTAGGGCTTTTTCACTTTTCAAAATACTAGAATTAGGAATCATTACTTCTAGTGTAAAGGAAGTAATTTTTTTTATCAAATATAAGGAAATTGTATTTTTTCAAATAGGAATGTGTTTACAGAACTCATCACCATGGATGTTGTACTGTTTGAAGAATATACATGAGACTTTCTGGCTTATGAAATACAGAGGTTTTTCAGAATATTAGCAGTATAGAACATGTTACATATTTTTATGAGCAAACCGAGTTCTGTGAAGTAGTAATAGTAACAATTTCAGCAATATGGACATATGTTTGTTAAAGACCCTAAAACTTGTAGCTCTTGATGGAGGCGTTAAACAAAACATTTTAGAGTTCCACAGCAAGAAGTTCTCACCTTTGCCTGTTGGAACAGAAAGCCTCTCAGAAGGGGCCAGTTTTAAATTGCGCCTTGCTTGTATTTGAATAAATTTTCAAGAAACTGGAAAATTGAGTGTGACCACAGCATGGTTGAGGTTTTAGGTAGGATGGAAAAGGGGCCAGGTAATAAGAAACTTACATGCCAGCGAAAGATGAGGGTTTTACCCAAATCAGGAGAGTCAGTGAGTTGTGGTAGGGGCTGTGCCTTGAGAACACCTTACAGCAGTGGGTGGGTAAGCAGAGGGCCTGTGCCGCAAGGCTGCTGCAGAATCCTTATGATAAATAGTCAGGGCCAGGCTCAGGACAGCAGAGAGCAGAGGCATATTCAAGAAGCATTGCTGAGATGTGTGCGCACTGAGGGAGAAAGCAGAGTTGACTGATAGTCCCATTTACCTAAATTTAAAAAAAAAATAGAACTTTTTTTCCTTCAGAAGCTGAGAAGCAGCGAGTAGTGGAAAAAAGGAGAAAAATCCAATTTGGAATATTTTAAATTTCAGGTATCTAGGAAGATGATGTTAGTGGCTTTGATGCCTGGGAGCAAGGTTGGAAGCAGAGCAGTGGCTCAGGAATACCAGCTTAATCATGGCCATTAAAGCCTTGAGAGTAGATGAGATCACTTTGCAAAGGAATAGAAGAAACTCAGCTATCATTTAAGAGGAGAATTGTAAAGAGCAAGCACTATTTTTCTACAAAGCTCTGTCTGCACCACTATCAAAGGCAGTTACTGTGTAAAAAGACCACTTATGATTGACAATAGGGGTAAGCAGACCCTGGCCTGTAGGCCAAATCCAACCCACCACCTGTTTGTGTGGATAAAGTTTTATTGGCACACAGCCACACCCATTTATCTGTGTGCTGTCTGTGGCTGCTTTCAGGTCGTCATGGCAGAGCCAAGTGGTAACAACAGAGCCCAGGTAGCCCACAGATCGTAAACTATATACTTAGTGGCCCTTTTCAGAAGTTTTGCTCACCTCTGCTGTAAAACATGGTTTTCTTTACTTCATTAGGAAAAGCCAAAGAACAAATTAATGGAGAAACATTTATTCATTACAGGTTTTCACAAACTCAGCATCATCAAATACAGTTCTTCCATATCAGAAACATCCTGCTCCAGCAGCCCAGCAGCCCTTTATTAATAAAGCCTCCAACAGCATTCTTCAATCCAGAAATGCTCCACTTCCATCCCTGCAAAATGGACCTAACACACCCAGCAAGGTAACCCTGTGATGCTTGTGCATCAGTGACAGTGCTACAGGGACATAAAATCATTCCAAAGCCTAGTGCTTTGGGCTTGGAGTGACTATCAGTATTAATGGGATAAAATTGTTGAAGATACAATGATGATAACTTGTGAAGGAGGAGCTCAGCTATTATTACAGTGAAGATGATCCTTCCCACATGAGGTGGCCACCAGTGCTGTCAGCCTCACAGGTGCTTAAAAGAACCTGCTAATTTGGCCACTGCACAGAGAACAGCAGAGCCAAGTCTAGCCAGGAAAAGAGAGGGTTTGTTGCCAAGAGGTAATATGTTCTCCTCCTTTATTTGACACAGCCTAGTTCACCCCCACCACCCCAGCAATTTGTCGTCCAGCACTCTCTATTTGGGAGCCCAGTCGCCAAGACGAAAGATCCCCCCCGCTATGAGGAGGCCATCAAGCAGACACGCAGCGCACAGGTCACCCTGCCAGAGGTAAGTGAGGGTAGGGTCACCCTGTGTAAGGCTACAGTGGATGTGCTCATCTTCAGTCTCAGGCAGACCTATACAGAATTCCTTGTCTGAAACTGACTTGCCTCAATAGAAATACAAAAATAATGGCCAGGAGCCTTGTATTTTACATGGTTATTTAAAATCAAAATGTCATTTATCATGAAGACCCTAACCATTTGCTTTCAGCAGCAGTATAACTGCATTTACTATTTATTCAGAAATTTAGTGTTTGTACCCCCCAAATTTTTTTTTTTGAGACTGTCTCACTCTGTCGCCCAGGCTGGAGTGCAGTGGTGTCATCTTGGCTCACTGCCACTGCCGCCTCCCAGTTTCAAGTGATTCTCCTGTCTCAGCCTCCCGAGTGGGTGGGATTACATGCACCCACCACTGCACCCGGCTAATTTTTTGTATTTTTAGTAGAGATGGGATTTCATCTTGTTGGCCCAGCTGGTCTCAAACTCCTCACCTCATGATCCACCAGCCTCAGCCTTCCAAAGTGCTGGGATTACAGGTGTGAGCCACCGTCCCCAGCAGGGTTTGTCTCTTAACTTTTCCTTTGGGGTAAGGGCATCAGTCATGTTAGGGATAGATGTGATTATGACTAAAACACATATTTTGTACAGGTCCCTTCTTTTCTAAAGCCACCATGTGTCACGCCAGCATCAAAATGAACCTTCCACTGTAACCTAAGACACATGGTATCATTCTTCCACCTGGCTGACATTCAAAGCCACCAGCACCTAAATTGACTCGGTCCTGCTTCATCTCTCTTTGGTCTCTAGCAATCTCTGCCCACAGCAGGCCAGCCCATCCAAATGACCGTGCTCATACAGTGAGCAAATGCACTTGAGGGGAACAGAGCGGAGGTTCTCCTGGTTTCACCACACATAATACCCACATGGTGACCACGTGGCCTCTGAGCCTTCCTCCTTTCACTGATAAAACAGGAATAGCCCCAACTAGACCAAGCAATGGAAGAAATTAGGGTTCCTATTTGTAAAAGCATATGGCCCATGATAGGTACCCAGTCACAACAGTACTTGTCATACGTTACCCTAAATACTCCTCTAATCTCCCTTCCTCTCTAAAGCTTTCTGTCAAAGCTTAAAACTAACCTTATATTCACAGAAGAACCCCAGCCTCACAGAGGGTACAAGGAGTGGCCCTGATACCACTCCAGGGGTGCTAAAGGTGGACACCAAGAGATAGTTTTGTTTTTTTTTTTTTGAGACGGAGTTTCGCTCTTGTTACCCAGGCTGGAGTGCAATGGCACGATCTCAGCTTACCGCAACCTCCGCCTCCTGGGTTCAGGCAATTCTACTGCCTCAGCCTCCTGAGTAGCTGGGATTACAGGCACGCGCCACTATGCCCAGCTAATTTTTTGTATTTTTGGTAGAGACTGGGTTTCACCATGTTGACCAGAATGGTATCGATCTCTTGACTTCGTGATCCACCCGCCTCGGCCTCCCAAAGTGCTGGGATTACAGGCGTGAGCCACTGCGCCCAGCAAGAGATAGTATCTGAGCGGAACTGTTTATTACCCACAGCAAACAACAGGAGCATCAGCGCAGTTGTGCCAGTTCCCCCGCTCTTGTGTTGCATGGGGTAATTTGTTGGGGCCACATGGTGGCTGTGCATGCAGTGGCTCAAACTGCACCTAAGGAACGTGGCCAAGGGCTGTGTGCTTTTTCTAGCAAGCAGCAAACAAGCCAGTCCCTCACCCAGGGAGTAGCAGTCATGCCTATGCTGCCTTGACCCACTTGGGTGCCTGAGTGAGCATCTGCAGAAGCTGCTCAGTCCAGGGGACAGTGTCAGTTTGGCCCCCCGACTAAGGACATGCAGGGATACTCAGGGCTCCCTCTTGGAGGATGTGGAACCTACTACATGCTTCTTTGTATTCACTGAGTACTGAGGGAACTAACTTTGAGTTGTAAGACGTCCCTTTAGTTACAGACTCAGCAAAGGCCCTTGTCTGTGAGAGATAAGTCAGATTTCAAAGATAGGTTCAAACATTTGCAATAAGAAGTAAAATAGGCAGTGCTGGACTGCACTGTGCTCCCTCATGGTCCATTCAGAAGTGACATCTATTCTCTTCACAGGGGAGCAGAGATGAAGGGAATTCCCAAGAGCTTAAATGCAGTTTTTAAGAAAACAAAAAGATAGCACCCATCCTTCCTAAGTCCTGCTTACTTACCGAACCTTCCACTGTAACCTAAGACAGCTGACTGGAATACCTGGTATTTACATGTCTCTGGGTTCCTGTTTATAGACTGAAGGAGACAGGTTCTACATACTGGTTTTTGGTTATTCAAACGAGTAGCCACCTGGAGGACCTCCTTATATGCCACTGAGCACTAAACTTCCTTTAAGTACATTTACTCAGATACTCAGATTCCCAATTCCACTACTGGCTAAGTAAGGCCCTATCAGTTCAGTCTTCCCACAGATAATAGCTATTAATCTTGATCATGACACAAAAAGCAACTACCTGAAGGCATTGAAGAGTAAATAGAAGCAGTCAGTATCTGGTGGGGAATTAACACTCAAAGGGAGAGAGGGATGTAGCCTGAGTTCCCTCTTTTTGCTGCTTTTATTCTGGGGTCAAGCTAAGAGGCAGCGTTACTGTGGAAAAGCCTTGATCTTTACGGTCTGGGAATCCAGAGAACTGAATTGAGAGCAACCAGAGGGAAAAAGCTAGAGAGAAGACCCCCAAATTCTTTGTGCCCACATCTCCAGCTGACTCCTAAGCCATACAGGCGTGGAATAGACACAAAGCAGCTCAGCTGAAGACAAAAGATCTAAAGTAAGACGGGAACATCTGCCCAAGAAAGATGTTGAAGTTTCAGTCTAACCAAGTTAATAGTTCGCTAAAACAATAGAAACCATTCATCTGAGAATAATAGCAGAATTCAGTTGTCACAATTTAACATCCATAACATTTATCCATTACATGCATCATACAAAGAATCGGGAAAATGTAACCTATTCTCAAAGGAAAAAGGCTGAGACCAATCCTAAGCCCATCTAGATGTTAGAATTTGCAGGCAAGGATTTCAAAGCAACTACTCTTACAACTATCCTCAATGATGTAAAAGGAAATAAGTTTGTAATAAATGAAAAGGGATCCATGCAGATATAGAAATGATTTTTAGGAGAACAATGGAAATTCAAGACCTAAAAAAAAAAGTACAATATCTGAAATGAAAAAATATATATAAATAAATTTAGCAGAATGGATACGGCAGAGAGGAAAAAATGTCATGAACCTGAAGATAGATCATAACTTATCTGAGTAACAGGGAGTGGGGAAAAGTCTTTGTTTTTTTGGGTTTTGTTTTTTTTTTTTTTTAAGACGAACTCTCATTCTCATCCAGGCTGGAGTGCAGTGGCGCAATCTCGGCTTAATGCAATTTCCACCTCTGGGATTCTCCTGCCTCAGCTTTCCGGGTAGCTGGGATGACAGGTGCCCACCACTACACCCAGCTAACTTTTTGTATTTTTAGTAGAGATGGGGTTTCACCATGTTGGCCAGGCAGGTCTCGAACTCCTGACCTCATGATTCACCCACCTTGGCCTCCCAAAGCCTCAGAACCCTGTTATGTAATTCAAACAAACAGTCTAGCCTTGGTAGAAAACAAGTCCCAGAAGGAGAAGAAAGAACTGGAGAGGCAAATATTTGAAGAAACAATGGCTGAAATTTTCACAAATATGATGAAAGACAAATTTATAGCTTTGAGATGCCTGATAAACAAGCTGGATAAATCAGATCAGTCAAATTGTTGAAAAAGAGAAAATCTTAAATGCATCAAGAAAAAAAAAAACACATTACACACAGAGCAAACAACTATTTGATTAATCCCAACCTTTCATCAAAAACTATGGAAACTGGTAAAGAGTCCAACAGCATGTTTAAAAGTTTTTAGGAAGGGATTGTCAACCCAGAATTTTGTATCAAGTTAAACTATATCAATCGTCCTCAGCGATGTAAAAGGAAACCTTAAGAATGAAAGTGAACTAAAGATGTTTTCAGATAAAGAAAAATTGAGTTAATTCATCACCAAAGATAACATTGTCTTGAGGAGCTTATAGCATGTGTGGACAGTACTTAGAATAGTTAATAAAGGGTCGGGGAGCGAATAAGTGGATCCGTATGGTTGCAGGATCTCTGTTTTATTCAGTGTACAACATTAAGTAGCCTATGAGAAGTTAAGGATATGTATTACATATCTTTGGTAACAATTTTTAAAATACAGGATAGCTTTAAAAAACAAAAAAGCAATGAAAAGGTCTGGCATGATTTCTCATACCTACAATCTCAACACTTTGGGAGGCCAAAGTGGAAGGATCACTTGAACCTAGGAGTTTAAGACCAGCCTGGGCGACATGATGAAACCCCATCTATACAAAAAAAGACAGATTAACCAGGTGTGGTTGTGCACACCTGTAGTCCAGCTACTTGGGAAGGTGAGGCAGGAGTACCACTTGATCCCAGGAAGTTGAGGCTGCAGTGAGCCTAGATTGTGCCTCTCTCCAGCCTGGGTGACAAAGAAAAACGATCTTAAAAAAAAAAAAAAAGACGGCTGGGCGTGGTGGCTCAAGCCTGTAATCCCAGCACTTTGGGAGGCCGAGGCAGGTGGATCACGAGGTCAAGAGATCGAGACCATCCTGGTCAACATGGTGAAACCCCGTCTCTACTAAAAATACAAAAAATTAGCTGGGCATGGTGGCGCGTGCCTGTAATCCCAGCTACTCAGGAGTCTGAGGCAGGAGAACTGCCTGAACCCAGGAGGCGGAGGTTGCGGTGAGCCGAGATCGTGCCATTGCACTCCAGCCTTGGTAACAAGAGCGAAACTCCGTCTCAAAAAAAAAAAAAAAAAAAAAAAAAAAACAAAAATTAGAATACAAAAACATCCAATTTGTTTTAAGGACAGGAAAGAAAAACAGGGTAACAACCAAACAAACAAACAAAAAAAAGGATGAATAGAAGACAAATACAAGATAAACCTAACCATGTCAATAATTACAACACATAATGCAAAAATTGTCAGAATGGATAAAAGAAGTCAGACTCAACTATATGTGGTTTTTAAGATGTGTCTATAAATTCTGTGACATTCCTCCCTGGGTTGGATTTAGCGACTCATCTTTTTTTTCTTTTTTTAAAAGGCAGAGTCTCACTCTGTCATCTAGGCTGGAGTGCAGCGGCACAATCTCAGCTCACTGCAACCTCTGCCGCACGGGTTCAAGCAATTCTCCTGCCTCAACCTCCTAAATAGCTGGGATCACAGGCACCTGCCACCATGCCTGGCTAATTTTTGTGTTTTTAGTACAGACAGGGTTTCACCATCTTGGCCAGGCTGATCTTGAATTTTTGACCTTGTGATCCATCCACCTCGGCCTGCCCAAGTGCTGTGATTACCACAGTGCTGTGTCAACCACTGCACTCAGCCTAGCAACTCACTACTAACAAACAGAATTGGCAGAGGTGATGGTGTGTGACTCCAGAGACTAGGTCATAAAAGGCATGCCCCTTCTGCCTTGCTCTTCCCTGGATTGCTCGCTCTGGAAAGGCCAGCTGTCATGCCATGTGGACACGTCAGCTGCCATCTGGAGAGGCTCACATCAAGGGGCACTGAGGCCTCCCATCAACTGCCAGCACTAACTTGCCAGTCAAGGACATTCCCCAGCCACACCTAGAGTTGACGGTAGCTGCAGTCTCATGAAAGACCCCAAGCCAGAACCACCCATCAGAACCATTCCTGAGACTCACAAAACTGTGACGTAATTTTAAGCCACTAAGTTTTGCAATACTTTATATCAATAGGTAACTAATGCATGAATCTACAAGAAGCATACTTTAAATAGAGACACATTGAAAGTAAATGGTTGGAAAAAGATCTGCCATGCAAACAGCAAGCAGAAATTTGCAGTAGCCAGATTTGAACAGACATTTTCCCCAAGAAGATAAATGGATGGCAAATAAGCACTTGAAAAGATGCTCAACATCATTAGTCATTAGGGAAATGCAAATTAAAACCTCAGTGCAATACTACTGCACACCTAATGGAATATCTAAAACTGAAAAGAGTGACTACAGAGTATTGGTGAGAATGTAGAACAACTAGAAATCTTATACCGTGTGCTCTGGGTGGGAATGTAAATAAAAGTCACTTAGGAAAACAGTCTGACCATTTCTTAAAAAGTTAAACCTACACCCATCCTGTGATCCACTCATTTCACTCCTAGGTAATTACCCACGAGAAAAGAAAACAAATATCTATGCAAGGACCTGTACACAAATATTCACAATAACTTTCTGTAAAAGCCAAAAATTGGGAACCCAAATGTCCATCCACAAGTGAATGAATAAACAAACTGCTATATTTCCATATAATGCAATACTACTCAGCAATTAAAAAAAAGAATGAACTATTCCTAAGGTACACTCTCCAAGATGCATAAATCTCAGAATAATTATGTTGAGTGAAACAAGCTAGTCGTTCCCCCTACCACCAAAAAAGTACACACACTATGAATCCGTTCATATAAAATTAATCCATAGTTAAAGCAAGCAGATCTGGGGCTTGCCAGGGGATGAAGGGATGAGAAAACTTTAGGAGCGATGGATATGTTCATTATCTTGATTTTGTTGATTTCAAGGGTATATTTGTATGTCAAAACATATCAAATTATATACTTTATGTAAGTGCAGCTTGTTGTATGTCAGGTAAATCTCAGTAAGAGCTGAGAAAATATGTATAATGTGTGATCACCTTTATACAGATTTTTTACCTAAATACAAATGAAAAAAGACACTTGTAAAATAAGGTATTAGAGGCCTCTAAAAATGCAATTCAATGATAGAAAAGAAAGACAGTGAAGTATAGAAGTGAGTGGAGCTGGGTACTAACTAGCCCTGTTCTTGCTGTGTCAGCTTACCAGCTGTACATCTTGGGAAATGGCTTAACTTCTCAGGTGACCTCAGTGTTTTCAAAATGATCCCATGATCAATTAGAACTAAATTGTCTAGAAAGTCCCTTAGGACTCCTGATTGTATAATGCTTCCAGGTTTGTATGAAAGAAATTTAATTTGTACTCTCCTTCATTGTAGATTTCCAACGCACACAGTCAACAGATGGATGACCTCTTTGATATCCTCATTAAGAGTGGAGGTAAGTTAAAAGTCAAATCAGACCCTCACAGGAAGTCATATCTTAACACAAGTACATCAAAGTTTTTCTTAAGCACTCATAGCTTATCTTTAGATACTGAGAAACATGTTCTTCTAACTGAATGTATTGTTTTAATATCTGTTAAATTTAGGCCATTAAAAGAACTCACAGCCAGGCATAGTGGTTCACATCCATAATCCCAGCACTTTAGGAGTCTGAGGCTGGAGGACCACTTCAGCCCAGGAGTTCAAGACCAGCCTGAGCAGCATAATGAGACAGCAACTCTACAAAAAATTTAAACAATTAACAGGGCATGGTTGCACACCCCTGCGGTTTCAGCTACTAGGGAGTCTGACATAGGAAGATTGCTTCAGCTGAGGAGGTCAAGGCTGCAGTGAACTGTGATAGCTTAAAAGAATAAGACAATGCGAGATTTATCCACAGATAGATGCCTGCTAAAAGCAAAGACCAAATAGCAGTAGAACCAGATTTAAATTCCATGCTGAAAAGCCTCAAAACCTGTTCCATGCATATGTCATTGTAATGGTATTAAAACATTCCAATAATACATTAATGATGTGACATCAGGCTACCAAGCATGGGCTCCAGTATCTTCATTAAAATTCAAAGTCAATGCCAAAGCATTTTCTACAATATAACATGAAATCTTATAGAGTTATATCATCTTTATTAAAAAGGGACATTAGCCACAAAAAAAGCAAGGATTATTGTTGCCTCAGCTTACTTACCTTTAAAAATAAGTATGAAAATCACTATTTTAAAATATTCCTGAGTAGTATTTGCATATTTAGAGTAGTCTTAAAATTACCCTGATGAAAGGAGTTTTATTTGAATTTTCAAATAGTGATCTAAAGTTCTCCATTTGTAGCAGGTATTATTTAGTACTGAAGTTGACATTGACAGAGAATTGATATTTGACTACGGATCTTCATACGCAAATAGTATTTTTTGCTAAGAACTGTATTGGCCTTACAAAAATAATTTAAGCTGGCCAAGCTCAGTGGCTCACTCCTGTAATCCCAGCACTTTGGGAGGCCAAGGCAGTGGATCACTTGAAGTCAGGAGTTCAAGACCAGCCTGGCCAACATGTTGAAACCCCATCTCTACTAAAATACAAAAATTATCCGGGTGTGGTAGCAGGGACCTTAAACTTGGAAGTTAAAATGTGACACAAACAATTGAGATATTTTCTAAATAGAATGATTTTTCTAATGACAAAGTATCCAGTAAGTATATTATTGCATCTTATTGTTTACTAATACCAGTAATAACGAGAACCAAGTTTTATATAGTTAGTTGTAAGACTCGTTACTTAGGGCCAGGCACAGTGTCATGCCTATAATCCCAGCACTTTGGGAGGCCAAGGCAGGCAATCACCTGAGGTCAAGAGTTGAAGACCAGCCTGGCCAACATGGTGAAACTGAAAATACAAAAATTAGCTGGGCATGGTGGAGGGCACCTGTAATCCAGCTACTCAGGAAGCTCAGAGGCAGGAGAATCACTAAAACCCAGGAGGTGGCAGCTTCAGTGAGCTGAGATTGTGCTACTGTACTCTAGCCAGCCTGGGCAACAGTGCAAGACTCCATCTCAAAAAAAAAAAAAAAAAAAAAAAGACTAGTTACTTAGATTACACCTAAAGCTTTCAAAACAATTTTAAGAGATGACTACTGATATTAAAAGTAACATAAACCCTTCAAAAACAAATGCAGTACATACAGTTGACACATACCAGTCACTGAGCTTTTAGAGCTATTGTTAAATTTAGTTTTCCTAGTGTATCTGCATATAAATGAAACCAATCATATCCTCATAAAATTTTAGAAGATCCTTTATTCTATTTTTTTTTAATTTGGCTCCCCATCAGGGAAAAAGATCCTTTATTCTAATGTATGTAGTTAACTGAACACCAGTATTTATAGAAGATGGTCCTTTGATTTGCTACTTGATCTGGCAAGGAATAACATATAATTGGTGCTTATGAAGACATTTCCCATAAATTCAGAAAACAAGACCAAAAAGTGAAAGAAGTAAGCAAGTGATCCACGTCATATTAAAGAAAAAGGTTTAAGGAATCATGTGTTAGCTTTAATTCAGAAACAAATTCAGATGCCACTGCATCTTTTGAGAACTTTACACAGAACGCACATGGCTAAACTGGGTACCCATTCCAACTGTAATGTTAAAAAAAAAGTAAAAAGAGTATAATTACCTCTTTCATAACATTGAGGATGTACTTCAGGTCTCTGCACAAACTCAGGATGTACATTTCAACATTTAGAGTATCCTGCTGCTATAGATTCATGGGATGGTATGATCCCTATCTTAAACCTTTAAATGACAAAATAAGGACTCAAAATAATATGTCTACTGTGTTGTAAATGCTTTTAATACTTAAGTCTTACTGAAAAGAATTTACAGCATATCAGAATGTAATAAAGTGGCCTTGGATGGTCTGCTGACTAAATTTACAATAAAAAAGACTGTAATAAACATGTTTATTTAACAAAAATGATCCATCATCCTAAAGGTTATCAAGGATTGTATCTGACCAATAGCATTCTCTTCCTACCTGAGGTGGACATGCATAGAAAGAAAGTAACTGTCCTAGTAATTAATTTTTAAATATCAGTAAGTCTTTAGATACTAATTACTTCAATTATTTTGCAGAGATCTCCCTCCCCATAAAAGAAGAGCCTTCTCCTATTTCCAAAATGAGACCAGTGACAGCCAGCATCACCACAATGCCAGTGAATACAGTGGTGTCCCGGCCACCACCCCAAGTCCAAATGGCACCACCTATATCTTTAGAACCTATGAGCAGTTTATCTGCCAGCTTAGAGAACCAACTAGAAGCTTTCTTGGATGGAACTTTACCCTCAGCCAATGAAATTGTTCCACTACAAAGCAGCAGTGAAGACAGAGAGCCCTTCTCTCTGATCGAGGACCTCCAGAATGATCTGCTCAGTCACTCAGGTGTGCTGGACCATTCACACTCGCCCATGGAGACTTCTGAGACCCAATTTGCTGCAGGTACTCCCTGTCTGTCTCTTGACCTGTCAGACTCAAACTTGGACAACATGGAGTGGTTAGACATTACCATGCCCAACTCCTCTTCTGGACTCACTCCTCTCAGCACCGCTGCACCGAGCATGTTCTCTGCCGACTTTCTAGACCCACAGGACCTACCACTACCATGGGACTAACGTCACAGATTCTTCTGTCAGAGTTGATGAGGTTTAAGAACATGAAGATTCTAAAAGGTCAGTTTTTAGCGATAGATCTATAGTTGCATTGTTGCAATTCAAATGTTGTCACAGAAAGAATAGGTGGAAGGTCATAGCCTGGAACCCAAGTTTGAAAACATTTCATTGTGTTCAGTAGTGAATTTCTACAATTTAACATAGCGCAGGGCCTTCTGAAAAACACGCTAGTCAAAGAAGACTCATCTGTTTTGCCAGACTTCAGTAAAGAATGCAAAGTACCTTTAGATACAAAGAAAAGTAATGTATGCAGCACAGTGATGTTAGGATTCTGGTAATTAACTACATTTAAATCTCTCTGGTCTCTTTAAGACCCTAAATAAAAGGCAGACAGCTCCACTCAAAAAATAAGGCCGATGTTGGGGAGGTGAGAGGTCACTGCACTTGGTACTTCTTAGAGATGGCCAGAGCCAGGCCCAAGACACAGCAGGGGTCAAAGGCAGTGGAGAGCCCTGGCCAGTTCAGTGACAACTTTGGCTGAAGACTTTTGGTTCTATTCAGAAACCTATGGTTTTTTTTTGGTGGTGTAGTTTATTTTGCAATTTTTGGAATCTTACTTCGTATTTCCAAATTTAAATTAAAATGGAAGATTTTTCACCATAATCAGAAGATATCTACAAAATACTGTCAGAAGTCCAGGTATACTGATTAACACTGAAAATTATTTAGCAACCCTCTGGGTTGGTTAGATTGACTTTAATGTATATATTAGACATTTGTATGTATGCTGACATTGTGATTTGTACAGCCTACATTGGGGTAAGGAAATGGGTATCCAAGGTCCTACTTTTCTAATAGCTCGAATATTTCTAGAGTACTTGAGCCACATGTATTTCTGTATTTAAAGAATTGCTGACTAACTTTCAGGTAACCAGACCCATCTCAGAGAACCAAGAAAAGGCTTTAGCAGGAAATATCTTTCTGAGCTGGTGAGTTAGGAGAATGAAAGGTAAGGGGAAGGTCTGTCATCTACCCAGGACATTCCCATGATGAGTATAGGGCAGACTGTGCCATGAGGTGGGCCTCCAGGTCCCACCCTGGCCCTCTTTCTTCTGTCACTAATCCCTGTTATCATTTTACAGGCTTGTAACTGGATGTTCTGCCAGAGCTCTCACTGTATTGTCAAGCCTAAGATTGAAAAACTGGAGGTTTTATTTGTTTTTTTATATATAGAAAAAAATTACATATTTGTTAAGTCATTTCTTAAGATTTTTCTAAAATGCCAACTATCACAGGATTATTTCAAGCTAGTCATTTAGGCATATGACAAAATGTAAATAACTAAACAAAAAAACAAATTACCAAAAGAGCATGGAGGTTTCTCTTAAATAATAATATTGTGCTCTCCACCTCACCCTTGTGTAAACCCTCGGGACAGGTCGGTTCCCCTGGGTCACAATGTGGTAAATGTTCCATACTGACATATGAGAGGCAGCCTGACCCGGTATTTGGAAAGAATTTGTGAATCATTTCTGGTTTTATGTTTTGCCTAAGAGCTGATCTTATTTCTGATTTGTGTGTGTGTGGTTTATAAATTTTACTATGTATAACAAAAGTCTGCTTTTCCAGCGTGAGCACACTGGAGCCCTCTGCTCACTGGCACTTCCTGACTCAGAGGCACTAACAGTGCTCATGTGCCTTCCAAACGGTTCAAGGCAGAGTCCACTGTGTTCAGTGTAGTCTGTGATGAATAGTTTAAGTGTTCAGAAATTGGTAAACCAACGCATGGGATACAGTAACTCTCTGTTAACCAGAACACCATCATTTGACCAAGCCCTACAAGAGTTTACCACACTAGATGTTCTGTGAATCCTCGAGCCAGTTCCATTGAGGGGGGCCTGTCTCCAGGGCCAGGCTATTTGCTTGGCAAAGTATTTTTCCTACAGTTCTTGGCCACAGGTGTTTTGCTGTGGGTGTCTGTCTGGGTTTATCAGGTCCATACTTAGACTCTGAGCATCTTCTTCATTCAGATTTGAATGGCTTATTAAATTAGCACCAAATATCAGTGGGACTGTAGGAGGTAACCGAACACTAGTGCCATTGACTCTCGTTGAATAACTTTATATTTCCATAATCCTGAATTGTGTACATAGTTTTCTAGCTCTTGGGTCCCTTTATTGCTTTTTAAAACAGGGTTTGAAACATGCCACAGGAAGGTTGCTCTCCAAAAATACACTGTCCAGTGCACAAAATGCTATCTCGTCCTAGTCTCTTTTGACTATGAATTGCTAAAGTGCCCACTTCACATATGTGTTTAAACCTTTACATACCAGTACTTCATGTTTAAGAAGGCAAGGCATCTCTAGCCATCAATTCTGCAAGCCACCCCATTTGCTCCATTCTGCTTGGCCCTCCTTTCCTTGCATGAGTCACCAGCCAGCCAGGCACCTGTGACACGAGTGCTGCTCTCCAGGATCTCCACTACATGTTCCAGGTTAGAATGAGGACACGCTATGTGCTCACACTCATGTGACATGACCAAAGATGATACTGTGTAAACAAGGCCCCTCTGAGCTGACTCACTGCACATGATGGTGAGTGCAACGAGAAAGAGTAGATGTTGACTAAAGACGGCTGGTTGTCGTTGTTGAAGTTAGTTCACAGCCATTACAGCACAAGTCAAAATTGCCAGTTGAATTTTCATTATGCACTTGTATAGTTTAGCACTAGTACTGTTGTATATCATATTGCAGAGTATCATAGTGCCAAGAAAATAACTAACTCTTAGAAACTCATTCTCACATCCCCGGTCTTAACTTCCCTACATGTTCTCAAAACCCGGTAGTATCAGCCTTACCTTTCTGCTGTACATAGATATCAGATCCTCCTGCTGGGGGGGGTGGGATGAATTTTAAAAGTTTTACCAAAACTTCTGTAAAGTCTTTGAAAGTCTAGGGGTACATGGTTATTTTGTACATTTCAGCAAAGTGTCTACTAGGCAACCTCTTAGGACAGTGTTAGTGGTTCACGTTCTAGTGTTTTTCCTGAAATGTGCAATCTACTGTATAGTATTTGCCACATATTTGTACATAGATGTATTCTGAATTCGTGGAATTTCTTGCTTAGATAATGTGTTTGTTTCATATGAATATTTTTGTAATTCTAAAAAGATTTATTTAAATTTTCTTTTTAAAAGCCACATGGTTCTGTGATCCATGTAACTGACACTTTTTGGCTTTCAGTGCTATTTAGAAAGAGTGGCAAAAGCAGGGTGGTGGTGCCTGCAAGCCACTGACTGTGGGCAGCAAAGTCATAGTAATGAGATAGCCTCTGAGCTCTGCAGTCAGCATGCAGAGTGACGGCTCAGGAGCACACTACCTATTAGTCACCAGAGCCGACCCAGGCTTCCTGGACCCTCAACCCCAGATCATTCCAGGCAGCATCGCTTTTTTCAGAGTCCTTGCAGAATTCCCAGGCTGAAATCAGCCGTAGCAGTTGACCAAACAGCTGTCCCCCACAAGTGACGGGATAGTCCCTTTACTGTCCTCAAATGGACTTGGCCTTAGAGAAGGCCACTATTTTAAAGCACTTTGGCAGAGTTTAAAACATTTGTGAGAAGCCCACATTTCAGCATACATCCTCATCAGCTTCCGTGTGCCTGCCTGGTGCTAGCCTCAGAGGAGTCCTGGCTGTCACTCTGGTGGGGAGCTCATGGTGCCACTGGGCACTTTTTAGAGAAATTTAAAGAGAACAGCTATTTACTGTCTACCAGCAGACCAACACATGTCAGTTTAACTAAATTCACAAATAACTAACTCTCCATTTTTCACTATCCATTACTATAAACATGAATGTTGAATGCTGACAAGAGGATACCCATACAAATCATCCCACCTGCCCTAGAGGCCACAAAAAATCAGCCCAAAATTATCGAAGCACGTTAACTGGAAGGTGAGGTGTTTCAAGGAACATAGCTTAAAAGTGGATCAATGTGTATCTGGAGAGCATCCTAACTGCATTTCAACTCATCTTTTAAGTGATTTCAGTCAAAACTGGAAAACAACTAAGATAAAGTTATTTTTTTCCTGGTTCAAACCTTCAATAACTTGCTCATTCAGCAGTCTCTCTGAGCTACATTTTTATTTGTAAAGTGACTCTGTCTGCATGGCAATAAGCAGGTCCATGTTTTTTCCGCATTTGCCCTTTCTTGCAGTATCCAAGGAAACACATTACAAAGGATTTCTACCTGAAATCTTTCATGGAAGGCCTATAATTCGAAAAGCTGCACATGTTTACAGAAGAGCTCTTATCCGCCATGCAGACACTTTGCTCTGTCATGTCACAGCTTTGTGACAACAAGATGGCAATCTCGGATCTACAAGGTGCTGTCGGGAGTCAAATAAAATATGTTATTGGAGATATCATCACATCCACAGTGTTTAACAGAGCTTTATGCCAACTACTAAGACAAAGCTTTAACCAAGTTTGTAGAATCACTCAAACTCGTAACAGTTACCTCTCTACGTGATGCTGTAAAGAATCTTGCTAATGTGGCAGGAAGAGGAGGCATTGAGGAAAGGGTTTAGTATCTACCAAAAGTAGTTGACCTCAAGTAACCAATAGTAATGCAAACTTGCTTTAAAGGAACCAAAGGCATTGCCAAGTATTTGCCAAAAGGAGGCACTTTTGTTTAAAATTTGAGACTCATGAGATCTCAAAGATCAGTCCCAAAAAGGTATTATCCACTTAAGGTTATAATTTTCACAAAGATGTAGATATTTCTCTATTGTTTTCATGTAAAATAGTATAGAGTTGTTTTGTTGGTTTAAGAATAATATTCAGTAGTAATACGAAGTTTTTTTTTTTCTATGTAGAAATGAGTTTTCTTCTTTTCTTGCTTGCAATAGAAATGCAATGTGATAGGTGTTTCTCTTCTTATTTTCATTGTCACATTACGTCTTAGCATCTCACTTTATGAAAAAAAGGAGAAAGATACCAATCTACAGAGCCCTGCTTGTTGAAGCACTAGTTTAATAAACAAAAAATTATGGCAATCGGGGGTCCATTCATGTATTGCCTTTATGTTGTTTTTTAAAAGAAAAACCATGATGCCTTTGTATTTGCTGTTTGCACCCCTGAAATCAATTCCGTATCATGTTTGAATGCCATACATTTTGCACATGTACTGTACATAGGTAATGCATACTGTATTTTTATATGTGTGCACATTTATCATCAGATATTTTGTACATAGTGGCAGTATTGTAGCTGATCGGGAAATGTTTGATATCTCAGCAATTTTGCATTTTTGTGTCTCAAATAAAAAACATTTTGATGTATTATGATTCCTGCTGTGCAGAAGAAAGACCACTCCCTGTGGGTTGGTGGAGCTGTTGTGGAGTGTGGATCAGGAACAAATTTGGTTGGAGACACTAGACCTTTAGCAAACAACTCACAACGGAAAGCCACCAGGCAAAGCCTGTGAACTTATCACCCTCCCCCTGATCCAGGACCATGAGATCCAAAATAAAAACTCACAGGTACGAGCCAAACTTGAACATGTCAAGAATTACACCAAAGTTAGTTTCTTTCTTCCACAATGAAAGTTAGAAATGTCGTTCTCCCCAGAGGGTTGATTTTCACACTCGCGCACAGTGAAAACTCCCTCGCTTCGATAGTATAATACACCGCCGTCACAGTCCCTGAAGACCCACACAACCCTTCAATCTAGCCAAGTTTCAGAAGCAGCAATCTACATGAGGCATTTTTGTAGACCATATAAAATAGTGTTTAGAATTCAGTATTCTTTTGCTAAGATGGCATTTAATTTCAACCCAGAAGCCAACGTTTAAAATCGTTTTGTTAAAAGGTTATTTTTTTCTCTTTGCATTGAAGAAACAAAATAGTAATGAGTCAACCTATTAACAACTATAATTGATATCAATATTTAAGAAAATGGACATAGCATCAAACACAGAAAGGGCGAAAGTAAAGATATTGATCACCTAAACACACAAAATGTTCATTACACTTAGGGAGCCAGAGTGCAGCCTCAACACACCAGGGAGATGATGCGCAAAGGGTTAAGCCAATTGTAGAGTATCATATGTTCCAGGCAGAGATCCTGCCCTTGGGGAGAACACAGACCTCGCTGCTGAAGTGAGAGAAAGCTGTGCCAAAGAGAGCACAGCCCGGGAGCCCAAAGGAGTGAGCAAGGGATGCCACAGGGAGCTCTGGGGAAGCTGTCATGGGGGACAGCCCCTTAGGCAAGGTCAGAGTTAATTTGAGAAATTTTTTCTTCTTGCAACAGTGGTGTTTTTTTGGGTTTTTTTTTTGTACAGAGTCTTGCTCGGTCACCCAGGCTGGAGTCTCAGTTCCGCAACCTCTGCCTCCTGCCTCAGCCTAGCCTCCCAAGTAGCTGGGACTATAGTCACCACCATGCCTGGCCAATATTTGTATTTTTTTAGTAAATACGGGGTTTCAGCCATGTTGGCCAGGATGGTCTCAAACTCCTGACCTCAGGTGATCCACCTGCCTCAGCCTCTCAAAGTACAGGGATCACAAGTGAGCCACTGTGCCTGGCCGGGTGTTTTAATTTAAATTTCAGAAAGAAATCTCATCTTGATATCCTGTCTTTTCTGTTAATATGTATGACAAGTTAATTAAATTAAGCCTACATTGTGTGAGGAGATGGGAAACAGGGATGCTAGTCAACACTCTCCCGCTTTTGTTGGATGCCATTGGGTCACAGATCATTCTGCTGGGAAATCCATGGAGGATGGCCCTATGAGTGTGCACTCCGCAGCATCCTCATGCTTGCCATTGGACATACAGAAGACTTGTGAGAAGCATCCAAACCCCAAGTGATTCCAGTGCTAGTACTGTTGAGGACAAAGCTGAAGTTTGATTGGTGTTGAGAAAGGGCTTTTAGTCAGGTTAATTGAGAATTTAAAGTGTTTCCCATCCAAGATTCAAATAAAGGCCTTTGAGGCTGAGCTTGGTGTAATCGCAGCACTTTGGGAGGCTGAGGCTGGTGGATCACCTGAGGTCAGTAGTTGGAGACCTGATGAACATGGTGAAACCCCATCTCTACTAAATACAAAAAAAAAAAAAAAATCAGCCAGGCATGGTGGTACATGCTTGTAATCCCAGCTACTTGGGAGGCTGAGGCAGGAGAATCTCTTGAACCAGGGAGCTGGAGGTTGCAGTGAGCCAAGATTGTGCCACTGAACTCCAGCGTGGGCAACAAAGCAAAACTCCTTCTCTAAATAAATTAAATAAATAAATAATAAAGGCTTTGATGTGTTTTCTCACTCACAGGTAACCCCCTAAGTCACATTAAGCAGAATTTCCAACAAAGCTTCTCTGCACAGTCTTTAGACAAAAAGTCTAAAGACAAAAAGTCTAATGACAGTCTTTAGACAAAAACTACAATGGTTCTGATACAATACTCTTGTAAGCACTAGAAAAGTCTACGGAGCTGTTTAAACAAGTAGCCTATTTTCTTTCCTTAAATTGCCTATCAAACAACTTGGAAAGTTGACCAAGACATAAATTCACTAGAGATACAGAAACTACAATCAGAGACTAAAAGAAGATGCCATAACCAAAGACCAAATGCTGCTTCACCCTTTTCCTTGCTCTAGTTGCCCAGTGCCAATCAACAAACACGGTAGGAGAGACAGACAATAGTATTAACAACAAACGTAATAAATGCTGCTGCCGGGCACGGTGGCTCACACCTGTAATCCCAGCACTTTGGGAGGCCGGGGCGGGTGGATCACGAGGTCAAGAGATCGAGACCATCCTGGTCAACATGGTGAAACCCCGTCTCTACTAAAAATACAAAAAAATAATTAGCTGGGCATGGTGGTGCGTGCCTGTAATCCCAGCTACTTGGGAGGCTGAGGCAGGAGAATTGCCTGAACCCAGGAGGCAGAGGTTGCGGTGAGCCGAGATCGCGCCATTGCACTCCAGCCTGGGTAACAAGAGTGAAACGCCATCTCAAAAAAAAAATAAATTAAATAAATAAATGCTGCTGTATGCCAGGCCCTGTGCCATTTTATATGTATAACTTCATTTAATCATAATCTCTGTAAGGTAGGAACTCTTACTATCCCCATTTTATAAATAGGGCAATTAAGGACAGAGAGGGCCAATGACTTGCCTGAAATCACAAAGGAAACAACACAGATTTGAGACCAAGTTTCTGCAACCCCCAAACCCAAACCATTTATCTTAGTCTGTTCAAGGAGCTATAACAAAATACCTCAACAGCAGAAAGGTAGTGCTCACAGTTCTAGAGAATGGAAGGTCCAACATTAAGGCTCCAGCAGATTCAGTGTCTGGTGAGGTCCAGATCTCTGCTTGAAAGATGGTGCCTTGCTGCTGCATCCTCACAGAGAAGAAGGGACAGAAAGGCGCGCATGCACACACACACACACACGCTGTCACAAGCCCTTTTATAAGGACACTAAATTCCATTCATGAGAGCGGAGCCCTCATGACTTAACCTTGAAGGCTAAAGGCCCAAACTTCTAATACACTGCATGGGGATTAAGTTTCAACATGAATTTTAGGGACAGAAACATTCAAACCATAGCACCATTCTTGCAGAGTCTACATACACCTTTCTGCTTTTGTCCAGATACTTTGTGAATACAATGGAGTACAGCTTAATTAATTCACATCTATCATGAGCTTCCACAAACTGCGTTGATTAGACCTGGGTGACTCAAGCCTCCTCAATTTCTCACATTTTCTGAAGTAGCTACTCACAAATGTTTAACGGCATCCACTGTATGTGTGGCTTTTTACTAGATTAACTCCAGCCAGAATATGGATTCCAAGACTAGAGGATTTTAAGTGAACTCTGCTGATTGGGCCATACAAAATGACTTGTTATTAAACACTGTGTTGTTGGGACTGCTGTAACCATTTAAGCACCTACCGAAGCTCAAGAGCAACAAGATTTTTAAATACCTAGCAAGATTGAAGACACAAACTCTGTGATCCAACAAATCAGTATTTTTGATACACATTCTTGAGAAACACAGATGTAGACAGGAAATCATGTAAATGAATGAACATTAAAGCATTTACAAAGCAAAAATTCCAAGTAACTCATACGTCTTTCAATCGGAGAACCGTTCAACACACCATTTACAGGAATGAACTGAATCTAAGAATCTTGAAACAAAATGCTGAGGGGGGAAAAAGTACAGAATGAAGCCTGCATAATTCAAGTAACATTTTAAAACAAGGCTGTGTGTTTTATAAAGTATAAAAACATGGGTGGTAAGGACTCAGGTCAGTTTTAAGATCCAGAATATTTCTGCAAGAAAAAGTCTGGTTGGGGAACATCTGAAAGAGGGCTTTAACTTTCTCAGATTTTGTTTAACAATTCTATAGCCAGTATAGTAAAATACTAATATGTTTACTAGCTGATTTTGTTTTAATTCTTCCTGTTCTTTTCTGTGAGTTGGAAATACTTCATAGTAAAATAAAGATGATCAAAAACAGTATTTCTGACATATGTAGAAACTAAAGTCCTAAATAAAATACTAACAAATCAAATCTAGTAATATGTAAAAACTATTATGCAGCATGACCAAGTAGGGTTTATTCCTGGAATGCAAAGTTAGTTTAACCTCTGAAAATCCATTAATGCAAAACAATATATCCATAGAATAAAGTACAAAAACAACATGATCATCCCAGTAGACACGGAAAAAGCACTTGACAAAATTCAACACCCCTTCATGATAAAAATGCTATGAACTAGGAATAGAAAGAAACTTTCTCACTAAAGGTCATCTACACAAAACCCATAGCTATCATCATACTCAGTGGTGAAAGACTGAATGCTTGTCCCAAGTGCTCAGGAAAAATAGATGTCCACTCTTAGAACTTCTGTTCAACACTGTACTAGAGTTTCTACCCAGGACAATTTTACAAGAAAAATAAATAAAAGACATCCAGATTGGAAAGGAAGAAATAAGACAATCTGTATTTGTAGATGGCATGATCTTGTATATCGAGAATCCTAAAGGATTTCCTAAAAATCTATTAGAACTAATAAAATGAATTCATCAAGGTCACAGGTTACAAAATTCAATTGCATTTCTATATGGTAGCAGTGAATAAACCACAGATGAATTTGAGAAAACAATGCCATTTATAATAGCATCACAAACAATACTTAGGAATTGTTTGACAAAAGAAGTACAAGATATATATACTCTGAAAACTACTTATACTCTGAAAATGTTTCTGAAAGAGACAAATAAATGGAAAAACATTCCATTTTCATGGATCAGAAGACTTAATATTGTTAACA